ATATATATATATATATATATATATATATATATATATATATATATATATATATATATATATATATAGAAACCTGGAGAATCCCCCTACAGAAGTATATAAAGTAGCGAGTAGAGAGTGAAGTGATAAAAACATATAATATGATGTAAAACAGAAAACATGATCATACAAATAAACGTATTTATGAATCTGCTCGTGCAGAGCAGCAAACAGGAACCCTAAACCCTAAACCCTAAAATCCTAAACCCTAAAACCCTAAACCCTAAACCCTAAAACCCTTTATATGCAGCTACAGAGCAGCCAGCTGAGCTGCACATGTAGATGGGTGTAAGCTTCTATATAAACAAAGGTTTCAAGGATCCGAAATGATTTTTATAATTCTTTGAAATAATAATAAACTTTTTATGAAATATTATACTCAATTCAAATGCAAAAACTAACGCTTTCCTCTGCTTACTGCTCGTATATGACCCCCCATAGAGAGCCATATAGAGCTTTCAGGGTGATGCTGGTTTTTTCTTTATTTAAAACAAAAGGAATTAAAAATAAATAAAATTTTATTTTGTTTAACACGTATTTATATTTTCTGATATTTGTATCGAGCGACGCTCTTAGTTCCTTTTCCGTCAGTTTCTCGTGTTTCGTTCAGTTCTTGTATGCAGAGATGTACAACTTGTTCAAGTTGAATATGAAGTTTTTTTGTGGCTATATTTGTTTTTTAAAAAGTATTTTATTATATTTCCTCTTTTCTTAATCTCTCTCCACCTTTTTTTCAATTTGTATACAGCTGAAATGCTTGGTATGCAAATATCTCTCTAGGCGCTGCGTTACTAGCGTACAACTGATCCGGTAAAAAATTTAGAATATGGAGTGAAAAAACTTGAATATGTGTTTAAACAAACATTTTAATCATGGATTTATCGAGAAAAACAAAAAAAAAAGGGTTTATAGAGACCTCATTCCGCAGCGGTTTCGACCCCCTAGCTGACGCGGGCTGTGAGGCTCCTGGGTTTTTTGTGCATCTTTGCGGCATCTGGCGGCTCTGAAAGGATCTATTAACTAGCTGAGCAGAATACATAATATTTATTTTCTATAAATATCATTCAATTCATCAACAAAAACACTCAGACATATGCTATACTGCAGCATTGGCTGCCGGCGGCCGACATATACAGGGGCC